GTGGCTGGCGGCGCGGGGGCTGCAGGGGCCCCGGGGACAGCGGGCAGGACGGCACGGGGGTCCGGGCCCGTGCGCTGCAGGGGTCGGGGCGCGCCCGTGGTCCGGGGGAGGCTTGCAGAGCCCCGGCCTTACGGCGCCGTCGGGGCCTCACTCCTTGGTCCCAGTCCCTGCGGTCTGGAGGAGTGAGCAGGGACCGCTGCCAGACGGGGCGCGGAGGAGCGGGAGGGTGGCAGCGCTTGGTACTCGCCCGCCTCCCGTTGGGAGCCGGGAGGCGGTTGAGTCTGCGATTTGTGCTGGGAGTTGTCGAAGGAGGCGGGGCTGGGCCCGAGAGACGGCGGTTCCTCCCGCAGGCTCCCTGGAGTGGCCGCCTCTCTTTCTCCCAGCACCGGAAAGGCCGTGCAGGGGGCAAAACGGAGGGCCCCAGTCACTGACACTTGACCCCCCACAGCCCACGGGAAGTACACATTTGGAATCTGAACGTTGCCAGTGTCGTTCTTGGCACATAATCCCCACTTGGTGTTGGGGTGTCCTGGCACGTAAGGTCCACTGGGGTCTGTGCCGGCCAAGAGATGACTCTGACTTCGGCCCGTGTCCCTGCACACTCGGTCCCCAGGGCTGTTGCGACATGAAAGCGAGGCAGCCCAGCCCGCCCCAAGGCAGGAAGGCAGCTGGCTGGACAGCCCCGCTGAGCTAAGAGACTCAGCCCAGGCTACCCCAAGGGGCCCCATGACCTGGGGTGGGCGGGATCAGCCATCTGGGGAGGGGCCCTGCTCTCTGGACTTGAGGGTTTCTGATTGTGGTCCAGAGCAGCGCGTGGTTGTTTTAGAGCTGGGCTTCCTGGTCACTGGGCTGGGCCGTGGGCAGTAACGGATGGCAGGGCAGTACTTTCCCCAGCCAGGGCTTTTGTGGGGATTAAGCAAGGGAGTGAATACCTGTAATGTGCCTGGCCAGCTACAAGCTCTCAGCGGTGCCTCTGGTTTGTTTTCCTTGTTAGTGCTCGCTTGGGGGTGGGGGTGGGGGGGTGTCTTCCAGGAAGCTCAGGGCTGGCAAGGCCGACACCGGACCATGGCACCCCCTCAGCGCACTTGGAGAAAACGCCAAGCCTCACCAGGCTGTGGGCCCCCACGCGGGCCCAGGCCAGCCCCCGGGACCTGACCTCTTACCCCCCTCCTCTGCGGCCTTCTCGGCTGTGTCCCTGAGCTGTTCCCCAGCCTTCGGCCTTCGCGTGGCCGGCTCCCTCCTCGCGTGGCCGGCTCCCTCCTCGCGTGGCCGGCTCCCTCACAGCCTTCGGGCTGGCGCCGGGTCGCTTTCTCACCAGGTCTCGCCGACCCCCCACATCAGCCTTTTTCTTCGTGGCTTTCAGCACTCGGGGCCAGAAATGACCTTGTTGGTTTCCTTTCTAATAAACCCCTCCCACCGGCCTCATCACTGAAGGGCCTCATCCCTGCTCCTCGCTGTCACCTGGTGCCTAGCACAGTGGGGCCGTGCCTGGTGCATGGCGGATGCCAGTAGCTATTTGGAAGGGGAAATCGGCAGGCGTGGAGGTGGGGTGGGCCTGGCTGGGGCCGGAGAGACAGACAGGCAGGTGGTTAATCAGCCCTCACCCAAGAAGGGATAGTCCTAAATCCTCCCTCAGTGACCTTGGCCAAGTATCTCCCTCTCTGATGAGCAGCATCTCCGACTGTCACTCTGATGGACGGGATGGCCCCGGGGCCCCTACTGGCCCCTGCTTTCTAGGTTCCCGGGTCGCAGCCCCAGACGTCTCCCTGGAACCCCAAAGGCTGTGTGGGTGGAGGAGGGGTGGGGATGCTTCCCTGAGGGCACATCTGGTGTCTTGGAAGGAGGCACATCGTGCCTGAGCAGCGCATGCAGGGTAGACGAGGGCTCGCCAGACTTCCTGTAGAGGGCTGAGTCGTAAATATTTGAGGCTTTGCAAGCCCGTCTCTGGCGCATGCGGCTGTGTTCCCGTAAACAGTGTTCAGAACAGCCGGCAGCGGGTCAGACGTGGCTAGACCACGTGTGATACCTCGACTGTCCTGCATAGAACCCTGGCCACCCAGTGACACTCCCAGGCCCCAGCACTCATCCGGAGCACCTTCAGCTCAGCTCTGGTGGTGGCATCGCGTGTGTTCAGGGGTCCCAGCCACCTTCCGAACCCTTCCAAGGAAGAGCAGGTCTGTTCACATCCTTACTCCCAGACGCCGACTGCCGGGAGTGTCCACCCTCTGTCACACTGGGGACCACACCAGGGTCCCAGGCTAGCCCCAGGAGGAGCGGAGATGGCTTGTGCTAAGGGAGGGAGGTTCAATTCTCTGGTGAGAACAGCGGAAAAGAGGGTCCCCCGTCTGCTGAGTGGGGACGGGGGTGGGTGTTGCATTCTGCCCTGTTCACCAAGAAAAACCTCCAGGCCATGTCAAACCAGGGTGTGACGTTATGGTCGCGGGGAGAGTGGGTGGATGTTGGGGAGCTCCTGGAGGATGTTGTCTGGGACCCCCCACTCACAGAGGAGGGAGTATAGAGCCTTCTGGGTACCCTAGTCAGCGTATGGGGTCAACTCGGAGTCCGGGTACCCCCCACACTATCTGGGCCACGTTTCACTGCCAGCAGCTGGACAGGGGCCATCTGGAGGAGGTCTGTAAGTCTCCGACTGGGGACAGCAGCGTGGGGGTTTCAGGTGGGATGTCCAGCGCCCCCTATGAGGGGCAGGGAGAGCGTTGGAGGTCCCCCACTGCCTGCAGCTCCCTCCACGCCTATACCCACCTGGGTCACTGAGTCAGAGGGGACCTGGCAAGCGGGCTTCTGGAGCCCATTATTCCCACAGGGCCAGTGCAGCCGCCGGCTCTCGCCTCCCCGGCACGGAGCCCGCCGGCCCTGGCTGCAGAAGGGGCCAGGCCTCGGTCAGAGGCTGCACTGTGGCATTCCATCCAGTCCTGCCAGACGCCTGACACACAGGTGTGCCGGAGGACACAGCAGTCCCCACTCAGGTCTTGAGGCTGTGCTGGCAGTGGTGGGGAGGGTGCCAGGTGACCGCTGAGGCTGCGGGGTGCGCCCCCTGCCGGTAGGGCTCACCCCTCTGGCCCTTACATTAGGGAAGAGCAAGAACAGGAAGCTGTGTCGCACTTCCCGGAGTCACCTGGCGCCCCATCCTGGTTACACGCAGGTCCCCTCCCCCGGGCCCCTTTCTCCTCACTTTGGTTTCTGTCCTTTTTTTCTATCTTAACCGTTTTTAAGTGTACAGTTCAGTAGCGTTAAGTGTATTCCCATTCCTGTGAAATGTCTCCAGAATTGTTTTTTCCTCCAAAACAAAATCCACACCCATTCAATAATGGGGCGCCTTCCTCCCCTCCCTGGTGGCCCTGGTGACCACCATTCCACTGCGCTTCTGCAAATCCGGCTACGTCAGATGGCTCCTGCGAGTGGGCCCCCAGGGGCCTGTCTTCCTGTGTCTGGCGGGTTTCACCCCGCTTTTAAGAAGGGACTATTCCATGGCGTGTGTTTACCACGTCTGTTTATCCACGGACGTGCTGGTGGACACAGGGTTGCTTCCGCGCCTTGGCCGTCGTGGATGATCCCGCTGTGACCGTGGGTGTGCAGATACCTCTTTGAGACCTGCTTTTAGTTCTTTGCCCACCGGTGGGATTGCTGGGTCCTGAGGTAGTTCATTTTTTGAGGCATCTCCACGGTTTTCCGTAGCGGCTGCACCAAGTCGCGTTTCCGCCAGCAGTGTGCGGGGCACCCACCTCCCCCCGTCCCTGCCAGCGCTCCTGGTTTCCTGCGTGTGATGGTCGCCATGCTCACGGGTGTGAGGTTGCGTCCTACCTGTTTTTATTTACAGGTGGAGCGCTCAAGCCCTTTTTAAACGCCGTGTCACTGGTACACACGTGGCGCCCACGCCCCGGCCTGCAGCTCGCCTTTTTCTCTCAGCGTGTGATGCCTGCTGTCAGTCCACGGTGACCCACGTGGGTAGGGCGCAGTTGTAACGGCAGACGCTCTGCCACTGTGTGAGTAGATCCCAGCTGTCTCACCATCTCCCCTGCTGCTAAGCACTGTGGTCCCCACTGCGGGTCAGGGTCACGGCCCTTGGCGTGTCTCCTCACTTCACTCAGAGGTCCTCCCATGGAGCCCTCAGGCCGCCCAAAGACCCTGGAGTGGCCTCTGGAATGTTGCCAGATGCTCCACAGCTGGGACCCAGTGATCCGCCCCCCAGCAGGATGGCCCAGGGCTGTCGCCGATAACCAGCTAGGTTACAACACGCAGCCAAGATCAGCAGCCTAAAAACAGCGGTTCTTACATAAGGCGCTGTGGGCAGCACCGCTCGGGAGGCTTGTGGTTGAGAGAGGCAAGCGGTCCGTGACTCGGGCTGAGCTCCCCTGTGTGCAGCGCCTCCGGCCCCCACGCTGGGCCCCGCTCCGCCTCCCCACAGGTGCCTGACCCGTGGAGCTGCAGTGTGACCCGGAAGCAGCGAGCGCGTCATCAGCTCGGCCAGGGGTGTGCCGTGTGCTTGGACACGGGCACGCGGGGGTGGTGGCAGCGGGCCACCAGAGGTGAGAGCTGAGTCACGCATGGCAGGCCCCCAGGAGCTTTGGAAGGGTCCCCACTTGTGAAGCGCCTCCTGTGTGCTCGGCACTGTTCCAGGCACCGGGGATGCAACAGGGAGCAAGAGAAGGCTCCGCCCCCCTGCGCTCGGATCTGAGAGAGGGATAGAAAACGCAGGCACACGGTGCACAGACGGGGACATACCGGGCCCCGATGAGTCCTGCGAAGAACAGACACGGTGGGCTGACGTCCTACAGACGGGGTCAGTAAACTTTTCTGTAAAGGGCCAGGTGGTCAGTATCTTAGTCTTTGTGGCCACGTGGCTTCTGCCACCACCGCTCAGCTCTGCGTTTGCAGCCACGTGGATGTGCATGGCTGTGTTCCAGTAAAACTTTATTTACAAAAGCAGGCCCCTCAGGCCACCATTTGCCACCCTGTCCTGGCTCCTAGGGGACTGTCAGACCCTTTCCGGAAAGGAAGCGAGAGCTGAGCCAGGTCACAGGAAGGAGCTGCATGGACAGTGCGTTCCGGGCAGGACACGGTGGCGCCTTGCTGTCGGACCCCGTGGAGGTGCGTGGGGAGGAGTGGGCAGACCTGGGCCAGGCGTGAGGAAAACGGCGCTGCCCATGGGCCGCACGCCGGGGCTACAGGAAAAGGGGTGCGTCTGGAGGTGGGGCTTGAACGGCTGGGCGGGTGCTGGCTCTGTTTAGGGAGAGAACGGCCGGAGGGAAAGGCTGGGCTTATGCAGGCCACATCGAGTTCTAGAACCTTCTGAGGCGAGCAGGGAGAAAGCACTGGCCGGGCGAAGGTCCATGCCCACTGCTCGGTGCCGAGGCCAGACTGGCGGCTTGGCCTGGGGGTTGGCAGCGGCCGGGTGGTCTTCAAGGCGTGTGGACACAGCAGGGGGCCTCCGCACTCCGGGCCAGGCAGAGGGGGACAGCGTGGGCCTCTTGCCCCGTGTGTGTGGAGGGGTTCCCGGTATCGTCTGCGGGGTGCAAGCTCTGGGCCCCTGCTTGCTAGCAGAGCCTGGGTTCCCTCCCGTCTGGGGATGCCACACCGCCAAGGTTGGTGCGAGGCAGTCTTGCTCCACGGGAACAAAGCACCGGCTGACCGGCAGAGCCGGCGGGGTGAGCACGGGGCTCGTGGGCTGGATGAGCGGGTCGCGGGGTCCATGATGGTCTGGCCTGGTGGATGGGGGTCCCAGTGGGGGGTTGGGGTTGCAGACACCCTAGTGCCGGCACCCACTGTCCTGTGCCTCCTCCTCGGGCAAGCCCAACGCTCTGGTGAGTCAGTGCTCCTGGGAGCTGCCAGCAGCAGTCGGGGCTCTGTGTCCTTGCCACTTGGGTGGACAGCATCGAGGTGTGCTCTGTGCTGTCTTTCAAGGCTCCCCAGGCCCCACCACCCACAACGGCAGCCTGTCCTGTTGCACACCTTTGCTGCTGCGTGCCCATCCCTGACTGGCACACACTCGCCCCTCGCACTCACTCCTTGTCTAAGGCTCGCTGCTGGGCGGCCGTCTGGGCTCACTGGCTTGGTGATGGCGGGGAGGGGCGGGGACGGTGGGGCCCCCCCTGCGGCCATGCCGGCCCGCTGACACCTGTCTGCGCCCCTCCCGCAGCGCGCCACGCAGCGGGGAAGATGGTGGAGCACCTGGCCAACACGGAGATCAACAGCCAGCGCATCGCCGCCGTGGAGAGCTGCTTCGGGGCGTCGGGGCAGCCGCTGGCGCTGCCGGGCCGCGTGCTGCTGGGCGAGGGCGTGCTGACCAAGGAGTGCCGCAAGAAGGCCAAGCCGCGCATCTTCTTCCTCTTCAACGACATCCTGGTGTACGGCAGCATCGTGCTCAGCAAGCGCAAGTACCACAGCCAGCACATCATCCCGCTGGAGGAGGTGACGCTGGAGCCGCTGCCGGAGACCCTGCAGGCCAAGAACCGCTGGATGATCCGGACCGCCAAGAAGTCCTTCGCGGTGTCGGCCGCCTCCGCCACGGAGCGCCAGGAGTGGATCAGCCACATCGAGGAGTGCGTGCGGCGGCAGCTGCGGGCCACGGGCCGGCCGCCCAGCACGGAGCACGCGGCGCCCTGGATCCCCGACAAGGCC